TTGGGGGGATGTGAAGACATCGCACGCGCCGAATGATGATGGGGTGCTGAAGGCTGAAGGCAGATGCCGAATCATTGGGGGGATGCGAAGACATCGCACGCGCCGAATGATGCAAGGGTGCCGAAGGCCGAAGGCCGATGCCGAATCATTTGGGGGAATGTGAAGACATCGCCCGCGCCGAATGATGCAAGGGTGCCGAAGGCCGAAGGCCGATGCCGAATCATTTGGGGGGATGTGAAGACATCGCACACGCCGAATTATGCAAGGGTGCCGAAGGCCGATGCCGAATCATTTGGGGGGATGTGAAGACATCGCGCGCGCCGAATGATGCAAGGGTGCCGAAGGCCGAAGGCAGAAGGCAGATGTCGAATCATTGGGGGGATGTGAAGAAATCACTCTCGCCGAATGATGCAAGGGTGCCGAAGGCCGAAGGCCGATGCCAAATCATTTGGGGGGATGTGAAAACATCGCACACGCCGAATGATGCAAGGGTGCTAAAGGCCGAAGGCAGATGCCGATTGTAGGAGGTGCCGAAGGCATGGCTCACAAGGGTGCCGAGAGCACTCGAGAAGGAGAACGACATAGCGTTTTGTGTCGTTTCCCACAGACGGCGCCAAACTGTTTGCACTAAAACTAGACATGTAGTAAGTAGGCCAACTTAAAGATGAGGTGGATGTTGAAGGTGAGGACCCTCAGTATGTAAGAGCATTCGGTAAATAAATGGACATGCATACAGAAGACAAATGTACGTGGTTCACCCGAATAATGGGCTACGTCCACGGAGAAGTAGGTTCTCATTATGATAATGTGTGTATACATTGTACATAGGGTTAAACCCAAGGGGAAGAGGAAGAGGAAGAATACCGAAGGCTGATGGCCGAAGGCTAAGGATCTGGCTGATGGCCGATGATCCGTGAGCTTGTAAATGGGCTAATGGGTAAGCCCATGAGGCCCCCGTAGCCTACCCCAAAAACCCCCTCTTCTTGAAGGGGAGAGGTCTCCATTTATAAAGAAGGGAGAGTCCCCTCCTCTTGTGTTTTGTCGATGTGGGACTCCCTTCCCTTTGGCTTGGGAGTGTTTGGGAGTGCTTGACCAGATATTGTACAAACATGTACAATAATTGAAATTAAATTATTTTTTTTCTTACCTTTCCACTAGTGCCCTTACCTGGTCATGGTGTTTTTGAACAGCCTTATTGATCTGTAGATGCCTTTTGAATTAATTGCATGCCTTGTAGTCTGTCCCTGTGGTTGTGGTCGATAATGGTTAATTGTCTTTTTGTGATAAAATTTACTTTAAAAAAAGAGAGATCTGCATAAATACCATCTAAATTTTTAGCATGTGTGCAAGTACCACCTTAACTTTTAATTTTAATTTTTAACCACTTGAACTATAAAAAACTGAACTCTGAGAGAGAGAGAGAGAGAGAGAGAGAGAGAGAGAGAGAGAGAGAGAGAGAGAGAGAGAGTTGCCTTATCATTAACCCAGCATTCAACGGGTCTACATTGTCCATGTCCCAAAATTTAATTTGGAACTCATCACTTGCATAGTAGCCAAGAATAAGTTCTTGGTAGTTGGTACGTTGTATCAAACTACACTACCCCAGTTTTTTTATGAGATATTTAGTCATATACCCATTCTTAGCACTAAAACTATAAATAAACACTACACCATTTAATTTCTATAAACAAACCCATAAAAAAAACCCCAAAAATGATAGCTGGCCCTATTGAATTGAATTTTGATTATTAAATTACTTTGATGCCCTATTGGGTGTTTTGGCCTTTTTTTTATGAGGTTTTGGGGTTGGGTTTGTTTTAAGAAATCAATGGCAATTTTGTAATTTAAAAGAAGTTAAAAGCCTTTTTGTTATGTTGTAAATGAGCTTTGGGTGTGTTTCCAAAGTCCATTTCATATAGGGTTTTTTTATAATTTGGGTTCCTATATTGGGTATAATAGTGAATCTCCTTTTTTTTATTTCCTTGATTGTGCCCAATTTCACTACTTTTGAGTGATGGATTACAACACTTTATAAAGTTTAGGTGGTTAAAAATAAAAATAAAAGGCAAAAAGTCATTTTAGATCCCTGTGGTTTCAATTTGATGCAATTTAAGGACAATTCTCAATTTGTGATACTTATTGAGGGGCATTTCGGTCCAAACTTGCAGCCCCTCCCCAACCACCTCCACAGACACTAGCCCCTCCAAAAACTCCTCCTTGCTGTAAACATTGACAATCCCACTGTCTAAACCAGCAACAAACAATGCTCCTTGGAGATGTACCATTTATACAACCTTCATCAACATATTTTTAAGAGATTATGTTGAATTACATAATACGAAACTATCAAAGCTTGTGACACTGGCACAAGGTGCAATAAGAGCTGCAATTGATGACGCTATTGTAATCCTAGGCTACTTTTATGAAGCTTACAAAAGATCGAAGTAGACTTGCTCTGGCTACCTTGTTTTTCTTTTTTGGCTGGAGAATACTTTCATCCC